CCAGCAATAAATCCAGTAGTTGGGTGTGGAAAATCTTCATCATCAGGACATATGCCACAACCAAGTTTTCTTTTTTTGACTGCAAAAATACAAATACAAAAATGTGAATTCTAAGATAAAACGTTCAAATTGGAACAGACAACTTCAACTACAACGTTTTTCTTATTCCAAGGTGAAAGAAAGCCTGTATCAAGCCACAACATATACACCTTAAGCCATTTAAATTGTAACATTACTTACTACCCTAAATCTGGTAGTCTGGTATCAGCAATGGAAGTACAAATAACACGATTTTCACATGCATAAATAATCAATGTTTATGATAACTCAACAAATTCAATTTATCTCAAGGTAAAAAATGATCTTGCTACAAGATAACAATCATTATATAAAGTATATCCCCCACAATAAGCATTTGCCCATAATATCTACAGACTACAGAAGTCATTGACAAATTACAGCACGTTAACCAAGAACACCCGATAGGTAAGACAATATGTATGTGTCATATATTCATAACACGATGATATTGTATTATTATGAATTAAAAAGCAGATAAGGATATTAGGAGCATAACCACGATCATCATTAGTTTTAATGATAAAACAATGAGTGGGATGAAGTTCCACACCAGAGAGAAAAATCTCAGCGAAAAACAATTGTGGGGACAAGTCGGCAGCACATTCAACATTTTCAGGCACAGCCTTCAAGAAGATGTGATGATATGCTCCTGGCTCTAAGCTTGAAATCGGTGGAATGAATTTACCGTCTTCTTTCACCATTTTCAGAAGGTGAAACTCAATGCCCTAGACCACAGGAGAAAGTAAATAAATACCTGGAGCACACGAGTAGATAGAGCAACCTGTTCCTTGTGATAATGCACTAAAGCAACTTCTGCCAGACAAGACCAAGGATGACCAGTGAACAAAGAAGAATGATAACGTTATAATCAGAGGAAAACAAAATAATTAAAAAAAGGCAAAAGTGAATCTGCGATAGCCAAGCCAAATTATAATGTAAATGACAATGACATACAATGTTACTTCGGAAGACATAGGGTTTGCCTTTCCTTCCTTCATGAGGCATTCTAGGAATTCGATTTGCCTTTTCCTGCTCCAGATAGCAAATTAAAAGCATGCATGCCAACAAGAAAATAATAATGTGCGTCAAATAAAAAATATTGAACAGAAAATAACTAGACATTGTAAATTATACACAGACAAAATTGATGATGCTGGATTTATAAATCCCTAATAATGAAGTATGTTACATCTCTGAATGTTAATACTAACTCTAAGGGCGGTCCCGAGCCATCAGATATATCACCATGGAAAAGCTGGAATTCTAACCTTTTGTCAGGATTTGAGTTTGACGAGTTTACTCAGAGAGAGAGAGAGAGAGAGCTTACGTATTGTGTTCTCAATCATGCCAATCACATAAGAAACACTTTCTAGATGCCAAATATGTCGTAATTAAAAAAAAAAAAAAATTACCAGGATCCTAAAGATAATGTGACTTATTCAGAATGACCAGAACAATGCATTTTCGGAATGTCATTGTTTCATAACTACTGCAAGAAGGCCGGCCTTTTCGACGAATACAAAATCATCAAATAATAATACAGAAACAGAATATAATAATGAAAAACACAACTATACTTACGAATAATCCAATGTCACGCAATACATGAAAAACAAAATCATACCCCATGAAAATAAATACTTTATGAATTTTCATCTTTTCATATTTGCAATGCCACATAGTAAACATCTACTTTTCAGAGCAATGAGCCAAAGGTTGAAAAGGAGAGGGGGGGAATCCCGNGGGGGGGGGAGATGATTTTTCCATGAACAGGATAATTTGTACATCAAAATGAAAAATTTTAAAGGTACAAAAGCATTTCCTCTCATTTGAGCACCGTATAGAGCAGAATATAGAATATTGAACCAACATTTACCTTGGCATCTCTAATGCACCTTCCTTTAGGATTCCGAATCCCGCATGAGGGCATTGCAGCAGTGGTCTGATTTTCCTTCTCCTGTTTCAATTGGGAAATAGCATCATCAATTTGAAAACAACACCATCAAAAAGAGTGAATCCCTAGCCATAAGCAAGAAGAATATGATACTGAGCATTCGCTTTTAGCTCTTCTAACCTTGTGACAGAAAAAGTAAAACTCCAAAAAAAAATATGAAGCATGATAAAACAAATTACCTTGAGATTTTGCGATAAACCATCTCTTTGTACCCCTCAGACAGTCTCAGTTTCATTTTCATTTTCCTTTTCCTTTTTAAAAAGGAAAATTAAAATATTAAAACACCGATGAAACTAACACAGATATTAATGAAAAGTATTTTGAATACATACATTTGAGAATGAATGGGTGTGCTTTCTTTTTCATTTTTTATTTTTCATTTTTTGGGTGGGTGATTGTGCATGAGCGCACGCGCATGTGTGTGTGTGAGAGAGAAGAGAGAGAGAGAGAGAGAGAGAGAGAGAGAATCCACCCATCATATAGACTATGATAGATTTGTGTTCTGAATACAACACATCTTACTCACAACAGTATATCAAGCTTGATGAAATAATGATCATGTATGAGTTAAGTTGGAAAATGATTAAGCTCAGCAAGCACACTGAGGAGAAATGAATAACTACTAAGGCTGCAATTGGATATGTTTTCATTTGAAAAAAAAAAAAAAAAAAANAAAATCACTCTAGGGAAGAAATCCGCTTTCCAAAATATCCAGCTCACCCTAACATTTTAATTTTAGTCGTTCTCACTAAACTAGAATGAGTTTTCTTTTCGCATTACATATTTTATAATCAATGCATTAGAATCAAACAACATACCGAACTGTTTGCTTATCCTTTGTAGTCACAAAAGTTCCCACATAAGCATGTCGACACTCACATATTAGACTGTACGCGCATATAAGTAATAGCCATGCGGCGATTTATAACATTCAAGAGGTGTGTGACACTATGTTCATTTAGTTCCACTTCATCTTACATTCACATTGCTGCATCCATGCACCAAATGTAGGCATGTATACATTAAAAGCTCGAATACAGAATAAAAAAAAAACTATCTCATTTGGTTATGAGAAAAACAAAACAAGAATACCATAAACTGAAACCCAGTAAGATATAGACCCGATCTATGTAAGTCCTCCTATGAGCTACCTTCCTTTGATAACTCTCTGTGTGCAATAACTCGGGGTTCAGTGTTCCTTGTTTTTAGTGCCCTTTGTTATCACAGATTTTGTTTTCCATTGACTATTATCAACCAGTTCATACATGCTATATAAAAATGGTTAGTTAAGCAACAAAAAGATCCACATTCAGCATAAGGTACCTAGATACACATGCAAGCATACAAGAAAACGCATATCTAGAATTTTCATAACTCAAGAAGATGGGAAATTTGTTAAGGGGCCAGAAAATGAAAAATATTGGTGATTAGCTCCGATCAACTTAATCAAGACAAAAATTCCCTAGAAAAATTATGTGCTAAGGGAGCACAAGGGTCGAACGTGCATCTCACACAAGGGAACAAAAATCATTAAACAAGGTCCGCAGCACCATATATTAGCAGTAAAACAACACCAACACACTAATTGGAGGACTCCTCGAATCTCGACTAAAGAACCTCCAAATTTCATAATTGTAAATAATCAATAATGAGATTAAATTTTACCTTGAAACTTTCTGTTCATGCTTCGCTCGCACACCCTCGGAAGACGATCCCTTCTCCAACTGGAGTTTCTTTTTCCTGATTTTTCGCAGAAAGTTGAATCAAATTATGCATCAACTAAACCCTAGCTTGTTAAACATCAATTAAATTAATTGCATACCTTCGTTCATGTCTCTTTGATGTCGCGTCGGGGTCCGACTCATTTTGATGGGAGCTTGAGTTTGCATTTGCGGTGGCGTCTGGACACCTCCATGTTCTCCATCTTCGCTTTCTACCGAGCCCTACCGAGCCTCTCCTTTAAGCAGACTATTTACGGGTAGGAGATTTAAAACATTGGGGATGATTAATATGGAAAAAAATCGGTTTTGTGTTGATTGAATATTTGGATGGGTATAACAAAAATGGATTGAATGGGTTTCTTGAGTCTATTTTGGGTAGTTCACCCTTAATAATGACATAGCCTAACTTTTCTCAAAAGCTGGTTTGGTTACCACACAAATTACAACACTCTCAAAAGCATGTTAGGGTTAGCTTGTAAAATAATTAATATATTATCTCACTAAAACATTTATACTAATAAAAATTTAATTTTAGCATATAAATTTATCCATTGATATAAGAGAAAGTAACAGTTTTGCTTATTGTTGTTCACCATATAATATTTAATTATTATTTTATTATATAATAAAAAAGAAATATTGTCAAATAGTGTAGTAGAATTGTTATAAAATTATATGATTTTTTTTTACAATATGGATTTAATATTTTTTTATGATTTGATAATATAAACAAATCTATACTTAACTTTGACAAATAAAACAAATAAATACTTTAGTAAGTGTTTGATGTATATACTAAATAGAAATATATTTGGTATAATCAAATACCAAATATAATCAAATAAGTCAAAGTGTACATTTTTATTTGGTATTTGATTTTATTATTATTAAAATATTTTTATTATACTTACTTTTTTAAAATAAAACAAATAAATAAATAAATTAAATAAATAAAATATTATAATACCAAAATAGTAATAACATTTAATGCAGTTGACTTTTCTGGATAGTAAATGTAGTAAATAGAATATCCTTTTATATAGTATAATACAGAAATAGTAATGCAATAAATGCTGTTGACTTTTCTGGCTACTTAATTTAGTAAATAGTACCCCCTTTAATATAAGTATAGATACATATATATATATATAGATGTTTTATGGAGTTGGTTTTTTTCTAAACTCTTTGTGTATAATGGGCAATGATAGGGATTATGATACTCACTTGGTCTAACGGGATAAAGACCTGTGAATGGGTCGAACAAGGGAGCGGTCGAGCATGGACCGGTCGAGTAAGACCAAAAGGTTCCATGGGTCGAACATGGACCGGTCAAACATAGGAGCGGTCGAACATAGACCAAAGGCCAATACCGTACATCTCTTCCATGGGCCTAACACGGAGCGGTCGAGGCCAAAGGGGCGTCGACCCACGCAGGTGGTCAAGCTTAGACCCGGAAGTCGACCCATATGCATTGACATCGAGCAGGGAGGTAATCCGTACAGTTAAATACTATATATACATTGAATCCCAAAGCAAAAGGTAAGACATCATTTATGACAATCACCATTACATTCAATACACATTAACTCTCCTATTCCGAAATATTGACTTGGGCGTCGGAGGGTCTTGCGTCGGAGCAATTCCGGCGTATTTGCAGGTACCGGCGTGCACTTGAGCTTGGACCGGACCGAATTAAACGCACTTACATCGCAATCGTGAAGAACCCTTTGAAAGACCGGAGTCACTCATCTCGGACTATATCAGACAGTTATATAAATTTAGTTAGAATTCTCAGAAAGAAAGAGAATTTTTTAGTAGCTTCCCGAGAGAAAGAAATTCAGATTTTTGAAACTTTAAAATTACTTAGAAAATTTAGCATTTTCTATAAAATAGCAAGTGGGCGTACAGTTTAAGAGGACATTATATATAGCCGTTCTTTAAGAGTTGTAGGTTGAAAAGGTCATTATATAGCCAGAGTCCAACGTACTAAATAAGTTTAGGTGGCACAAAAAAAAAATAATAAAATAAAATAAAATAAAAAAATAAAAGTTATAAAATGTTATTATAGACAATAAGTAACAAAATTATTGGTGTGTTGCTCATGTTACTTAAAGTTAAAATGTAATACTTCTAGTGTTTATCAGTGACCTAAAGCACAACAATGTAATGAAAAAAAAAGAAAGAAAAAGAAAAAAAAAAGATAAAATCAAGAAAAATGTGTGGCCCAAGTCACAATGTGACATTGGATCAAAACCGGTTGAGAGAGCTAAAATGGGACACTTGTCCAATTTTTTCATTTGACAAATGTATTTTTTTAATAAGACTAGTAAAGTGCACGTGTGATGCACGTGGTGAGGAATGTTTTTTGCCCATTAAGTTTACTAAAATAAATTGATAATTTATTAAACTTATTATTGCAGCAACAAAATAAAATGTTGAACAAATGAGATTCTAATATTTTTTTTTTAATAAATAACATAATGATGTCTTAATACAAAAAGAATGAAATAACATATTACAACCACAACAAAATATAGTCCCTAATGGGAAAAAACACTAAATAGCTAAATAAGGACCTAATGTATATAATAGATGCATTAGTTTTTTTTTTTATTTAATTATGTTACATGATTCAAAATTTTGGCTTTGACGTTTTTATAAGAAACATTCGTACCCCTTGGAGCCCAGTACATCAATAGTATTGCAAAATTCTTCTTAATTCCTTTGGCAAAACGTCTACTTTACCAGTCAAACTTCATGATTGTATGACGTGTACAGTTCATGAATATCTCTGTAAAATAACAAATCGTACCATTAAAACTGTGATATTTTTTGTTTTTTTATCATTGTATAAACTATTTCATTACTCTCTCCATATATATATCGACAAATTAGTACCTATCCCGTGGAGGCATCGCCGAACGACGTGAGAATGAATTTCTATCTCCAAATAAAAGTTGACTTTCTAAAATTTTGGTTACATGTACTTCTCCCGAGGTGCTAAATTACTTTTTAAAATAATCACATAGATACTCTAAATTAATTACACATATGTTCGAGGCTACAAAAAGGAGCAGTGGTTGCTCCCTAGCCAAATGTAGAAACCAATGAGGTAGCACCTCATGATTTCGAGGTCGCCGAGCCAAATGCAGAAGGCACAATTGCTCCTCCTCCTGCCTAGTCGATCTACTTGATGTTGAAATCTACTCATGTATTCCCTCATGATGTTTTGTAATCTATATATATATAATAAGAATTAACATTTATCAAAAATAGTAAGTCAATCTTTGGTCAAAACTGATAAACATTAATTACATGCCATTTATAGTATATTTTTAATATATTTTTTACTAAAAAATGGACAGCATTAAATGTTGTCCTTAAAATGAGGAGTTTGTTATTTTTTTATTTTAAAAAAAGTGGGCTGCTATTTAAATTTGGTCTATTGAATATTTGCGATAGTTTGACACGATGTGCATATCAAAAACTGATAATGCACGGGCTGCATCAATTAAATTTGGTTATTGGTTACAATAAGCTATTTTTAAATTTGAATAAAAATATATGTCACGACTGCTAATTCAATTAAACATCGGCCAATTATATTCTCCAAATTTCAAACCAGATATTCGGCTAATACAATTGCTTTGCTTGACAGTTTTTTTTAATAAAAAAATTACGACTAATTTAATAATAAAAAAAATATGTGTTATTTTTTCTAACCATAAAAATATGCTTTTGTATTTTCAAAATATCGGAAACTTTTTTTTTTTTCTATAAAATCCGCTAATACATATGTTTTGATTAGCAAATTTTATTTAAACAAAATTACGGCTAATTTAAGGGTAAAATTATATATATAAAAAATATTTGTTTATTTCTTTTGAAAACATTTTTTCTAACCATCAAATCGGGCAGTTTCAATTAAAAGAATAAAGTTGCGGCTATTCAATTGTTTTGTTTGACAATTATTTATAAAGAAAAATAATACACGGGTCTAATTTTGAAACGATAAAAAATTTTTATGATCTTTGTTTAAATCAAAGATTTGAAATAAGAATAATCTCCATATTTAAATTGCTTTAATTGTAAAACGTGATGTATATAAGATTTAGATAGATTTATCACATATCATCCTCTAAATTATTTTTTTTTAAATTTCAAAATACCAAATCAAATTTTTTATGGTCTTTGCTTAAATCAGAGATTCAAAATATCTTAATCACTATATTTAAATTGCTTTAATTGTAAAACGTGATGTATACAAGATTTAGATAGATTTATCACATATCATCCTCTAAATTATTTTTTTTAGAATTTCAAAATACGAAATCAAATTTTTTTATGGTCTTTGCTTAAATCAGAGATTCAAAATATCTTAATCTCTATATTTAAATTGCTTTAATTGTAAAACGTGATGTATACAAGATTTAGATAGATTTATCACATAACTCCCCTAAATTAATGATTTGATTTTTTTCTAGGTTTCAAAATACTAAATCCTAAAGCTGCGGCTGATTTAGTTATTAAACGATATTTTGCAATCATAGATTCGGGTTATCTTCAAATTCAAAATTTAAATTGCCGATATGTAAATAAATTTGTACAGATTAAATACATGTGATCTAAAATGAAGGATTTTATTCCATTAAAAACATAAAATATGAACTTAAGATGTAGATTTTATTTTGCACGTGTGATAATACAATATTACATGCTATGAAAGTCATATTGTTTACCCATGCATCGCACGGGCTACGCACTAGTATCTTTTGAACTATTTGCGTCAACCATAATTCATTATGGCTTGTAATCGCACTCCTTGTAATGAAATGTTTGTTTTTTCATAACCTTTGTATTTTGCTCATATATTTCTGGTTTTTGCACTTGGAAATAATTTTTGCACTCAATGATAATTGCTCATACATGTCTGGTTTTTGCACTTGGAAATAATTTTTGCACTCAATGATAAAAATCATCGTGATCGGTCTTCCACCAAGGTTTTATAATAAGCTCCATACTTGAGAAATTTTCACTCATTAAAATGTGATCTAATCATTCGACCTTCCACTGCAGTTTCTAAAAAATAAAATAACACTCAAGAATTTAATCGACCTACCACTGAGGGTACCCTGAAGCCAGGAATGGAGTTTCAAACACAAGGTTATCATACGCTCGTACGGGCTGCCAGCCTTCCCTGACCAATTATCCCACCAAAACAAACAGGACCCATTATTAACAACATAAGCAACATTATCTTGGAAAACATCCTCCACCAAATGCCTTGTGATCGGTTCGCACAGAAGGAGTCTTCCCATCCCCCCGGCAGAGAATGCAAGAAGTTGGCCTAAATCCCTTGGTTTGCATCATTCTTCTCAACCAATCTCCACCTTCTCACCCCCTTGCTATCCTTGGTCCTTGGGTAGGATCTTCTTCATCCTGTCTATGATAGAACCGAAATGGAAGCCCTTGCCCTAAGAAAGAAGGAGAAGGCCGCGAAAGGAGAGGAAAGGTGTAGTTGAGTTGGCCTTTCTCATGGTGACTTTGGTTGGGCTATCAAGGAACACATTCCCAGAGATCTTCCTCTCCCAAGCCTGCCACGTGAGCTTGATAGGGGTGAACCTAGGCTTCTTGAAGGTCTCCAAATTAATTCAACATAATAAGATTGTGAGTAAAAGTGATCTTAATTACCCGACCTGCCACTGAGGTCTCCAAATTGATTCAACATATTAAGATTGTGAGTAAAAGTGATCTTAATTACTCGACCTGCCACTGATGTGTTCAATTATCTTTGTCGATGAGGTGTTCAAAGTCTGACTTACCATTTAACTTTCGCGAGCTGAGCTTACACAACATTTAGATCCAATTTATTTTCTACTTCTTTTTTTTTTTCGTTTTAGTGGCAANCCAACAATATCATTGTCTCCACATCTCTAATAGCAAACCAGATGAGGCGTATGTGGACAAATATAGTCATCTTCTCTATGAAGTAACTCAGTATTCCAAGACATAGTGGCAAAATTCCAATTTTTACTATATTCTACCTCTTCATAGTGGCAAAATTCCAATCATTGGCTCCATAGCATTTCTGCTCTCTCCATTCATTGTCAATATTTGTTGTACAATTATTTGTGTTTCCAAAATAAGAATATAAATACAATTATATATTCACTTTCTTATTATATAATGTTTGTCTCCCGTGTATTTGTACGTTCGTTAGTTGTCTTTTCCGATTCATAAAGTTTCTAATTCCGAGAGGATATGTATTCAGACTTGCAGTGATTTTATCTATTTTTATAATATTATCGTTGAAAAAAAATTGTAACACCACAAAAAAATAAATAAATAAATAAAGTATCTTTCCCAACTCATTGTTTCAGAAAAAGTGATGCACTTCCATGTTTAGCTTCAAATTTGGTGATGATCGATGGTTAGATACTTACATCTGACAGTAGCATATTAAAACAATTCCATTTCTACATAGGATGATAATTATTCTAATATAGCTAATATTCCCTCACAGGTTAAACTTCAACGTATGGAAAATGGCCAGCAATAAATCCAGTACTTGGGTGTGGAAACTCTTCATCATCAGGACATATGCCACAACCAAGTTTTCTTTTTTTGATTGCAAAAGTACAAATACAAAAATGTGAATTCTAAGATAAAACGTTCGAATTGGAACAGACAACTATTCAACCGCAACGTTTTTCTTATTCTAAGGTGAAAGAAAGCCTGTATCAAGCCACAACATATACCCTTAAGCCATTTAAATTGTAACATTACTTACCACCCTAACTCTGGTAGTCTGGTATCAGAAATGGAAGTACAAATAACACGATTTTCACATGCATAAATAATCAGTGTTTATGATAACTCAACAAATTCAATTCATCCCAACGTAAGAAATGATCTTGCTACAAGATAACAATCATTATATAAAGTATATCCCCCACAATACACATTTGCCCATATCTACAGACTACAGAAGTCATGGACTAATAACAGCACGTTAACCAAGAACACCCGATAGGTAAGACAATATGTATGCGCCATATATTCATAACACGATGATATTGTATTATGAATTAAAAAGCAGAGAAGGATATTAGAAGCATTACCAGGATCATCATTAGGTTTAATGACAAAACAATGAGTGGGATGAAGTTTCACACCAGAGTAAAAAATCTCAGCGAAAAACAATTGCGGAAACAAGTCGGCAGCACATTCAACATTTTCAGAAACAGCCTTGAAGAAGATGTGATGATATGCTCCTGGCTCTAAGCTTGAAATCGGTGGAATGAATTTACCATTTTCTTTAACCATTTTCAGAAGGTGAAACTCAATGCCCTACACTAGAGGAGAAAGTAAATAAATAACTAGAGCACATGAGTAGATAGAGATCACTTAAATTTATTAAACAAAAAATGAGGCAACCTGTTCCTTGTGATAATGCACTAAAGCAACTTCTGCCAGACAAGACCAAGGATGGCTAGTGAACAAAGAAGAATGATAACGATATAATCATAGGAAAACAAAATAATTAAAAAAAAATGGCAAAAGTGAATCTGCGATAGCCAAGCCAATCAGCAGACATGAGAGAATTATAATGTAAATGACAATGACATACAATGTTACGTTTTAGATTTTTTTATTAAAAATATCATATAAAATTTCAAAAATTAAAATAAAATTATGTTGAATTAATTTCGCGGACATTATCGAAGTGTTCGCAAACGAGGTTGTGTTCATTCGATTATTAGACGAGCCTAATGCTCTCTGTTCGAACTTTGCTTGATTAATAAACAAAAAACTCTTGCCAGACACGAACGAGCTTTTGTTTCTGATTCTGACTGTTGATTTTGACAATAGCATATTCATTTATTTCGGATAAGGAACAATGCTAAAACATCATACTCACAATCCATCTATCTTCTCACAAAAAAATATAAAGTAATTACCTACAAATACTCTACGTATCGACGCAAGAATAAAAAAGAAACAATTCAATTGAGTCAAAATTGTTGCCAGGAACAACACATGGAAACCCATTCTTTAACCAAGTTGCCTCATCATTTCTTGCAAATCAGACACACTTTTCAATATCATCACTGGAAAAAAAAAACAGCTACTGATGCCCTATCAATCACCTTAACAAGAAAACCAATATGTTATGCTCGAGAATTCATACAACTGCCGATTTTGTTTTTGTATCTAGTAAACTTGACAAATTGGTTAAAATTTTTATTGGTGTTGTATGAATTCTCGAGCATAACATGATTGAAAATTGGTTTTCTTGTTAAGGTGATTGATAGGGTATCAGTAGCCTTCTTTTTTTTTTTTCATGGATGATATTGAAAAGTGTGTCTGATTTGCAGGAAACGATGAGACAACTTGGTTAAAGAATGGGTTTCATGTGTTGTTACAGGCAATAATTTTGACTCAATTGAATTGTTTCTTTTTTATTCTTACGTCGAGAGATGATACGTAGAGTATTTGTAGGTGATTACTTTTTATTTTTTTGTGAGAAGTAGATGATTGTGAGTATGGTGTTTTAGCATTGTTCAGCTTATCCGAAACAAAATATGCTATTGTCAACCAAAGAGAAATGGAAGGGACTTGCAACATGTACATGGGAAAAACTGTACATGCCTATACTTTTTATTTTTTTAATTTATCAGCGCTTGTTAGGGTTTAATACTATTACTTACTCATGGTAGGCTTTTATTTTATTTTTTTCTTTGGAAAAAGCTTTTGCATTGTAACCATACCAAATCCATGTTAATATCTCTTCAGGAAATATCAACGGTTCTTATGAAACCATTTTTTAAGTTTCTCCATGTTGTTACCGCTTATAGACGCTTGAGACGTGCCGCAAGCCCGAATTGATAAAGAATGATCGTATGACACAGAGACGATCAATGACCAACCAATGAGGCAAGCTACCAAGCAAGTAACTCATCAGGTGAAGGTGAGTGATTTTTTTTTTGTTTTAAAATTTTAAAACCATTGTTCAAGAAAATATATGAGGCTCTTTGTCTTTACTTTTTGGGTAAGTTATTGTGGTCATCATGCATCTACTGTATGTATTGAGTTAAAATACCGCCTTCGAACCTTCAAGATGTTCGAGCGGTATTTTAACTCAATACATACATGAGATGCATGATGAGCACAATAACTTACACAAAAAGTAAAGACAAGAGAACAATGGTTTTAAAATTTTAACACAAAAAAAGATACTCACCTTCAACCTGATGAGCTATACTTGCTTTGTAGCTTGCTGCCATTGATCGTCTCTATTGATTGTCTTTGTGTCATACGACCAATCTTCATCAACTAGGCTTGAGCATGCACGTTGCAAGCGTCTATCACGATGAGTAATAACAACATGAGAAACCTCAAGAATGATTTCCATCACGAGAGAACCATTTGGTTTGGTTACAAGGCAAAAACTTTTTTTTTTAAAAAAAAAAAAACTAAAACCTACCAGGGAAAGCAAGAGTATTAAACCCTAACAAGCACTTATAAATTAAAAAAATAATAAGTATTGACTTTGGTTAGCATGTGCAGTTTTTCACGTGTACATGTTGTAAGTTCCATTCATTTCTTGTAAACGCGTGGCTTCTTATTTTGTTTTTGAGTAATGCTATATGTACATAATAATGTAATAGAGATGTACATAACACTCACATTGAGTGGGTCCTATCAATAGTAAAAAATTAAGTGGACCCCACTCCATGTGAGTATTATGTACACCTCTATGTACATTTATTATGTACTTGTAGCATTTTTCTTTGTTTTTGTATCTAGTAAACTTGACAAAATATCAATTTCAAAATTGTACAAAGAATCATGGTCACAAGCACTCAAAACTCAAAGGCACAACATATACAGTGTTAATGCATTATGTCACAAGTTTGTTAACCTTTAACTCGCGGTAACAGACATATCTCCCAAAGTCTAATAGTTCCCATAACCCAAAAATATATGGCAAACCCAACTCAAGCTCAGTAGTGAAAGTTTGTTGGAGATTAATTCAAATCATCAACTATATCATTCAAAACCACTTTAAATTCTTCACTTTTATACAAGTCTAAGCATGCCCCTAATACTACTTTTATTAATATGGGTAATGACAGCTCAGCCATACACCTCACTTCTTTTCTCCTTAATTTTCTTCAACTTTTTAAGCCTTCATTAAGGCTAATTAACTAAGCCTTAATTCTCTGAAACTTCTGACATTTTTAGGCGGCCTCAACATTGCATAATATAGTTTCAGCACAACATAATAATTCAAAGCAAAAACATACATATTATGCTTCTCTTTTCCTCCATTTTTATAACTCATTTAATCATGCATTTAACCTTCTCTCATTTCCAGCATAAATTCGCATGGGTAAAGCTAAGCACAGTTCATACCATTTCAGGGAAAAATCATTATATGTACAACTCTCTCTCTCTTAACATTTCACTAGAAACTTAAGCATGAATATCACGCATTTCATTTCAGAATTTTAGCATGCTTTAATCTTCTCATGTTAATTGAATTCTTTAAACTCAATAGCTCGGCCATAAAAGAAGTAACATCGAGTTCTGCCAAAAATACCTTCTCGGCTAAATAAGAAATGGAGAAGAAGGGCTAGAGTCTCGGTTTTTCTCGGTTCCCGTCCGTTCGGCTTGCTGTGATGAAGACCGGCCGCTGTTGGTGGTCCTCTCCGGTCAGGGGCTCTTCTCAGCCTCGTATTGCAGCTCGTTTCTGGTGGCCCTCAGGTGCAAAAAGGGTCGCTTACGGGGCTGCTCATTTCTTGTGAGTTTATGGTGAGTTTCTGAAGGGTGTAATATGGGGGTGACGGCTTCAGCTGAATTTGTATACTGAAGGCTAGGAAATTTTCAAGACTTGGGCTATTTTGTTCTAAGATGTAGAGGAATGAAGATAAGATGAAATGGGGGACTAAGTGGATAAGGTGAGTGGTAGGTGGAAGATGAGGGTGTAGTCTATTTATATGTAATAACTAGGGTTTGGAAGTGTTATTGGGCTTTTAAAATTGGGACTAGCGTTTAATCAGACTTGGACTTAGGAAATTAAATACGGATAATAGATCGAACAATTAAACGTTGGGCCCGGTAAATAAATAATTGGGCTGGTTGGCCGGAATAAAAGTAGCCCACTTAAATGAGCTCATAAATTGGGCTCGTTCGAAAATTAAATAAATTCCCGACTTTTCTATTCTTCGATTAAACTAATAAATCGAGACTAAGTCTTAGAATTTTATCTCGTTTCAAAAATAAAAATTCGAACATTTTCTCCATGGCTTAAACTTAAAACTTAATAAATTATGCGATTTATAAAAATAAAATATGGCATAATTATGAGCTTACTATTTCTGGAAAATAAACTCGAGCTAATATATAAATTTGGTTCGGGGCTTACATTTACTATTGAGACCCCTCTCGGTGTAGTTTGTAGGTAATCGGGGCTCGAGTAAAGCTAGTTTGTGATATCACTGGTCTACAAGCCGGTCTGGAGTAATTTTCATATCAAATTAGCGTCGTATGTGGGAAGATCTAGTCTTTTACTGGTTGATGAGGCTTGATTTTCTCGTAATCTTATTTTCTCGTGTTCAACAACCAGGTCGAAGATAGTTCAAAGAAGAACTAGGCAAAGATATGGAGGAGGCGTGGGTGTCCCGAGCCCCTTTAGACAACCAAGCCAACACCTAAGTCACGACGAGTGTGACATTACCAGGACCACACAGCGCCTTGACCCCAACAATGAATCACGTGGCTGACCTACCCCAAGACAGGAGCCATTGGCTCCATGACAAGAGACACTACCAGAGGAGAAGTGTTGTAAATATTTTTCCGGAGTATAATCGAAAGATTCGAACACCGGGTCGTGTCTCACGAGGAAGGTCAGCCGAAATATTCTGTACGTTTATTCAAGCACTAATAAAAGACATAAATTTCCTAAACATTCTAATTCAAAAGATTGGTTTGATTATCAACTACGAAAAACTTCAATTAAAGCAAATATAAATAGCAAGCAATCAACGAAGAACAAGTAGGATTTAAGGAGCTAGGGAGTCGGGGATATCCGTTTTGGTTCGAAAATGTAATTGTCAAGCAAGAGATTGTTCAGTTAAGTGATTTGACTAATCGACACGTTCAAGCACTCATTCTCAATAACTTTTCGTAACAAGAGAACAAACTAGAACGGCAAATTAACAATTCATTTAACTTCTAGGCAATACAGTTACGAACAAGCCTAGTTCATACGAGCCTATTTCGACCAATGTTTGTCCCATTTTTGTTGCATTTTTCGTGTCTATTTTCTCTTTCTTTTTTCCCCATTTTAGGTCTTTTCGTTGGTTTTTATTCGTTCTTATAGTTTATTGTTTGTTTATCTCCATTTTGGTTTTCTATGTGTTTTTCGTATGTTTTTTCGGTTTTTCTTCGTTTATGATGTGTAGGTCGAAAGCTTCGGGAAGATCGAATTTTGGGCAAAAGTCAGTTGGGCAAGCGTAATTAGATAGAGGAGTTCGTTGGGAACACACAGAAAAAAACGAAACTCAATTTCGAGTTCGGACGAGTCCAAACGAGCTCGAAACGTAAGGCAACGCGCAGTTGTCCAGATTTCTTCACCGCGGCCGCGGAGGAGGTAGTCGCGGCCGCGAGAGTCCCAAAACGCCCCATTTCTGGCCAGTCGAGCTCGCGGCCTCGGAGATGGTTGCGGCCACGAGATTTCTTCACCGCGGCCGCGGAGGAGGAAGTCGCAGCCGCGGGGGTCGCGACAGCAGGATTTTTATTTCGCGATTTTGATCAGTTTTTGGGGTATCTACTACCTAGGTTTTATCATTCGCTCGTACTTTTTCACTCCAGAACTCAGTTTCCTCTTATCTTTTCACTTGGATTTGATTTTGGAGAGTATAAAACTCCATTTTATCTTCCAGATTTAGATTACTTGTGGGATTCAACATTGAAATTCGTATTAATCGTAAGACTTTCTATTCCTTTAATCCATGAATATGTTCGTCTTTATTTGTGGGATTGTTTATGTTGAATCGATCATGAGTAGCTAAATCTATATGCTAGGGAATTGGGGATGATGTTTTGATTTCGATTGCGATTGTGGTGATTTGTTGATTGTTCTTCTTATGTGAGTTGATCGTTTATTAGGGTTTCCAATTATCATTCTTGAATATTGAGAATTGTTGAAGGGTGACACTTCAATTCCCAATTGTTTCAATTGAATTTGATTTATTCATGCATGAAGTTGGTGATTCTACTTGATTAGTCGGTTAACCACCCTCTAGTATATATTAATTGACTCTTAGAACCGAAAGGGGAGGAGTCGGTCGAAATAGGCTCGTATAAGCTAGGCTTGTTCGTAACTGTATTGCCTAGGTGTTAAAAGACTTGTTAATTTGTCGTTCAAGCTTGTTCTCTTGTTACGAAGAGTTATTGAGGATGAGTATTTGAACGAGCAGGTTATTCAAATCACTTAACCGAACAATCACTTGCCCATTAATTGCAATTCGAACCAAAATGGATATCCCCGACTCCCTAGCTTCTTTATCATTGTTTGTTTCATGTTTTTGAGTTAATTTATGTTTTATGCATTTTCTGTTATTTCCTAGTTGATAGTTCAAACCCTAATTGTGATTAGAGTGTTTAGGATTTTGTTTTCTTTTTATGTGTTATCATTACCAAAGCTAAATTCCGAACTGCCTTCCTCGAGAGATCGACCTGGGAAACGAATCCTTGGTTCGGGACTCGGTAAAATATAACCATTTGTACACAACAACCGACTCCTCCCCTTTCGGTTCTAAGAGTCGATTTAAGTAGACTAGAGGGTGGTTAATCGACTAGTCCGTTAAGAGTTAAAAACATCAAGCACGAATTTATCGAATTCAATCCAAACAATTGCAAGTTGAAGTGTCACTCTTCAACAATTCTCAAAACTCAAGCTAAAAATTGAAAAACCCTAATAAAAGATTAACGCGTATGAATTTGAACACCCTTAGCCCGACAATCACAAACGATTTCAAAACATCAATCCTCTATCCCTAGCATATGAATTTAGCCACTCATCATCAATTCAACATCAACATCAATATCAATTAAAGCCATCATCATCACAGATAAAATGAAATAGAAAGCTTACGATTAAATATGAATCCAATGTCGAAAGAACAACAAACAATCCAAATCCACAAGTCGAATCTTGGTGTTTTCACAATCCAAGATCAATTCCAAGTGAAAGATAAGAGAAAACTAAGTTCTGGAGTGAAAAAAGTACGAGAGAATGAAAAAACCTAGAAGGAAGATAATGAAAAACTGATCAAAAATCCAAAATAAAAATCTGCTCGTCGCGACTCCCGCGGCCGCGGTGAAGAAATCTCGCGGCCGCGACCATCTCCGAGGCCACCAGCTCGACTGGCCAGAAATGGGCGTTCTGGGACTCTCGCGGCCGCGACTACCTCCTCCGCGGCCGTGGTGAAGAAATCTGGGCAGCTGCGCGCTGCTTTACGTTTCGAGCTCGTTTGGGCTCGTCCGAACTCGGAATTGAGTTTCGTTTTTTGCTATGCGTCACCAACGAAGCCATCTATCCAGTTATGCTCTCAAAATCAACTTTTCCTGAAGAGAAAATTCGCCCGAAACTCCTGACCTACACACCAAAAAGCACAAAACACAAAAGAAAGCCGGAAAAACAAACGAAAAACACCTAAAGACTCAAGATGAAGGAAAACACATAATAAAACACGAAACAAACTAAAAACTAAAGAAACGACCTAAAATGGGGGAAAAAGAAAAATAAAATAAACATGAAAAACGCAACAAAAGTGAGACAAACAACTCCCCTACACTAAAACCTTTGTTCGTCCCGAACAAAAAGAAAAGAAAAAACACGAAAACAAGCAAACGAGCATGGATAACATTTTCAAATAAGACAAGCCTCAAATTAATCAACTTAGCCGAGGAGACTTCCAATGACCAATATAACACACCTCAATTACAACTCAAATGCAACGTCTTGAAAAGACAAACTCTCAAGCACGGAAGTATAACACATATATGCCTCACTCAGTTTATTGAATAAATATAAAATGGGTTCGCTCAAATTGGTCGATCATCATGCATCACATAAGCTTGCTTATCGTCTATTCGTACTCTAAATCAATCAAAAATCATGAAGTGCAAATCAAGAGGACTTCTGGAGTTGCAATAAAGGCAGTTTGCACACGGGAAAGACAAAAATGAAGATAGAGCGGCTCAAATAAACAATTAAATCCTCGAGCATATAAACTACTCAAATGCTCCACCCCCTATCCAAA